GAATTTTACACTTTTTAAAGAAAATATATAAATTAATAGCACACTAATATTAAAAAAATGATTTGTAATTGGATTAATTTTATTGTCATAAATTAGTTTTATATAAGTTCTTTTGTGAAAAATCATAGCAACCAATCTCAATATAGCGTTTTTAGAACAATTTAATTTAATTTTTTTGAAAATAAACAATTGTACTTTTTTTATTCAATTGTACTGCTTTTTTAGCTACGATGTACGTTTTTCGTTGATTTCAAATCTGGCAAGCCTATGTTTGGATCTTTAGTGTGTCAGCGCAGCCAAATTTGATGTGTCGGATCAAAAACTCTCTCTTAATCGATTTGCATAAGGTGTCAGCAAAGTGAAATTTATGAAAAAATTTGTACGTAGTTTCATAAATGTCAAATTATTTTCATATGTGATTTGACATTCTGGTAACTCTTATACATATATCTCTACATGCTACAATCGCATACTATTGCATTATAAAAAAAAGAGAGATCCACAAAAAGAGCTCCGACAATCATTAACAGCGCCGGCGGTTGACACAAAAAAATTCGGGAAGTTTCAGATGTAACTTTTCAGGTATGACCGACCTTAAAATGTTCTTTTAAATGCACTTCGTAAAGCGACACATCAAATTATTTCTCTCAAACTGTAATTTTGTTGAGTTAATGAAAAAAACTGGTGGTGAGATTTTTTACTAACAAAATCAAAAATCTTGCCGTTTGATGCAGCCAGATTCATCGATAATTTTTAAAGTCGATTTATAGAACTCTAGTATTACATCATACAAAAATGAAAATAAGTTTATTCACTTTTTCAAAATCTATTCTTCAACTTTTTTCTTACAAGATAGTAGATTAATACGACGTAAAGTAGAATTACGTCGTAAAAAGTCGATAATTTAATGTCGATTTATAGAACTCAAAAAGACAACAGAGACATCAAACTATACTTTGTGATCAAACAATAAACAACATTCCCCGACAGCCGGTTCTACGTACCGGAATGACCCGAATTATTCGGCCAAGTGCTGTCAACCCCAGCAACAACAATACAACAACAATAAACAATGTTTCGATAGAAAACGACTCGAGCGCGCATCAACTGAACAGAAAATTGTCTGGCAACTTTACTTTTTTAGGAAGTGTTCGTAAACTGCATCATTCTTTATTATTGTTTGTTGTCAAAATTCTCTCGCTTCATCTAAATGAAAAAAATTCCATATATTTAATTATTTTTGCGCAAAAATAAAATAATTAAACCATGAATAAAGAAACGGATTTGGAATTTATTAAACTTGTTCAAAGTTATCCCATCATATATGACAGAGAACAGTCGCGTGGCCAAAAAAATTCCAACATGAAAAATGAAGCTTGGCAGGAGATAGCACAAATTATAAAAAAATCTGAAATTGCGTGTATAACCCGCTGGAAATCTATACGAGATCGTTTTGGTAAAGAGTATCGACGACAACAGGAAAATCCCCAGGAGACCACAAATTGGGAATTATTTCCACATTTACTGTTTCTCAAAGATCACTACAAGCAGGGGTGAGTAGACAAGTGTGGAAATTTTTTTCTACAATATAAAATTTGTATGTGCGTGTGTGTGTGTGTGTTCTTCCAGATGTGCTCGCAATGATTCTATAGTGGAAACTATAAAGTATGCTCCGCGTATACGTAAAACGAAAACCAAAAAGGACTATGCTACCATTGAGGCTGAAGAAGAAATTGACCCGGAGGAGTTGACACTAAATCAAAATATAATCGCTTTGGTTAAACAACATGATGTTTTGTATGATAGTAAGCGGGTGAGAGATTCAAAGAATTTGGCCGCTAAAAACGAAGCATGGTCACAAATTGCCAATGCATTGGATGTTTCAGGTATTTTAGTTGGAAACTTTTTATATGTTCTAGATCATAGAAAATTTACATTTTGAAATGCATAGTGTTTTTTCTAAAAGGAGACAGTATTTAAAGTACTATTATTAACCATAGACTAGTCTAAACACTATCCTATTGACTAGTCTACTGTACTATTTCCATAGTAGAAAAATAGATTTTTATTTTTATCATGTACTATTCTATAGACTGGTATTGACTTGATATTGGCGCTTTAATTTAGATAGCTTATGTTCGGGCCGTCGTAACTTTTTTAATGACTTTTCAAATTCAAATTTAAACAAAATTCTTACAGAGCAAGTTTGTTACACAAAATGGAAAAAATTAAGGGATCGCTTTTCCAGAGAATATCGTTCGCTGCAATTACATCCGGAGAAACCCATAACTTGGGTGTATTTTAATGATTTAAAATTTCTGCAGTCTCATTATAGAAGAGGGTTAGTTTTACCTTAAATATTTTATATATTAAAGTTGTTTTTAATATAACTATTACTCTTTTTCAGTATACCACTTCCCGTGGAAGAAATAAGATCTAAAAGTAAATTGTCACCGGCACAAAGTGAAAATCCATGGGGTGATGATTTAAACAAATCTTTTGGGTACTCCGACAGCGGTGGTGACCAACATAATAACGATGATCAAGATAGTAATGACCATATAATAACTGAGGATACAACTGTTATGCAAGATTTTGACGAACTGCTCTATATAGAACCCAAAAAACCTTGTCTCTCTGATCCACGTAACGACTCTCCCATACAAGTAACTTATCATGTTTCGCATGATACAACAACTAATCAGCCGGTCACTACAACAACGTATACCTCCTCCAACGCTAATAATACATCTGATTATACTACAAACATAAATGATGAATCTGCCGTATTAGCAAGTCCTTCTGAGGCCGAGCAAAAACTACAAACGGTTATATCAAATATGGAGTGTGTTTTGCAACAATCACAGGATTGTTTAAAAGCCGTACAACAGCAAAAAGAATTGTACAAACAGGAGTTATTACAGAAAAGTAATAGTATTAATCTGCAGACGGAGCCGTTACAAAAGGTGCACGTTTTACTGGACGGTTTGCAGCCGGATCAACGTAACAAGGCCGAACGTAAAATCTTACAATTTTTGTGTGAATGTCAAATTAAAATTCTAAATAATGAAGAAATTAATGATGTGAAACCTGAAAATTTTTATTAGTGTTAAGAGTTTCTGTTTTACTTCTTCTTTTTTTTGTGTTTTATTAAGATTTAATAATAAAGTTATTGCTTAATAATACATAACGTTTAATATTTTATTATTATTATGGCTTTATTCATATAAACTAATAACGTCTTGCAGTCTACATTTATCTTACAAACTTGACCTCTGTTCTATTTAATTTTTAATCTAGTTTTAGTTCAACTCTAATTTATTTCTAGTTTAGTTTAATTCTGGTTCAGTATTAATTCATTTCTAGTTTATTTTTAGATAGTAGTAACTAGAATCTAGTTCATTTCTAGTTTAATATTAGTTCAATTCTAGTTCAAGTTTAGTTCCAGTTAAGTTCTCGTTCAGTTTAAGTTCAGTTCTTGTTATGTTTTAGTTCGGTTTAATTCAGTTCTAATTTAATTCAATTCGGTTATTGTTCAGTTCTACTTAAGTCCAAGTTCAGTTTTAGTTAATTTATCGTCCAACTTTAGTTGAGTTCTAGGTTAGATGTAAATTAGTTAAGTTCTGCTTTAGTTGTAGGTCAGTTCTAGTTTAGACCTAGGTCAGTTCATTGTACATTTATATATGGAATGTGCCTTCAGTTCTACTCATATAACAGTGGAGAAAACGCTTGACGAGTTCTTTGGAAAATAGTTAAATTAAGGTGATATAGACTTGTCAAAATTTATGTCATAATTTGGAAAATAATAAAAAAAAACTTTCTTACCTTCCGATAACTTAAAATAGTTACTCATGCTTGACCGACTTATTATTTTCATTGTTACAATTTTTATCACAAATAACCAGACGGTGGCATTTTTGTTTACATTTGTAAATGCCGTTATATTTTTCTTGGGTTGCCAATCATTGATTGATAGTCCCTCTCAAGCAGTGCTGCCAAATGTTCTGTACAAAAAAAGGACAATTTCTGTCTTAAAAACAGCAAAAGCAATTAATTTATCATTTAAATTAAATATTTTGTTAACTAAAAACAAACATTTATTTATTTTCAATTGTTCCATAAACCAACTTGGATTTTAATAATAGTAAACGTAAACATATTTGTGTCCACTTTGTTTCCGTTCCAGAGATATTGTACTACAAATAAGATCTCGAAAAGTCGAACTCGACTATATTGTTAAAAGAAGTTGTAGAAAAAAGTAAATAAGTTGATAAAAATCAAAAGTCGATTTTTTCACTTTTTGTAATTTTGAAAAGTCGATTTTTCAACTTTGCGATTTATGAAAAGTCGACTTTAGACATTTTCCTTTTGAAGCAAAAATATGAACAATTTTGGAACGTTTTAAAGTATTTATTTAATATTTTTTTATTGGGAGTAACTTAAAATTTTCGATTCTTCGACTGTTCCAATTTTGCTCGATATTTTTAGATTTGCTAGAGCAAAAACAATGAAAATCTGTAATCACTTTAATTTTATAGCAAAATTTGATATTTTGAGTCAAAACTTTAAAGTCCATTTTCTGGCTAAAGGGAAGGCGCTAGAGCAAAAACAATGGAAATCTGTAATCACTTTAATTTTCGGGCAAAATTTGATATTTTGACTCAAAACTTATAAGTCCATTTTCTGGCTAAAGGAAAGGCGCTAGAGCAAAAACAATGAAAATCTGTGATCACTTTAATTTTTGGATCATTTTAAAGTTGATTTATAGAACCCTACTTTGATTAAATCCATTTGCCGAATCCACCTGGGTGTACATTTCAAGAATTAAATTTGGATTTAATAAATCCGTTTTTGTAAAAAAAATCGGCTTTGTATTATTTTTTTATTTAACGAATATGGCGAAAGATTTCAAGCTGTCTAAAGTTGAAAAATGTTCGACGGCGCCGGCTTTGAAATTTCTTCGACGGCTAGACATAGTCGGTTATAAGCCGAAACGGCGCAGGTCTCTGGACGTGAGTCAATTTTTATTCGAAGAAACAACGGGGCCGCACGCAATGCAGTGAAAATAAAATTAAAATAACTAATTGAATTGAATATTTAAATAAGAAAAACTAATTTTTTATAAAATATAACAACAACTTAAAAAACACTAGTCAAATTTAATAATTTTCATAAAGAAAATTGCAAAAAAAGAACTAAAAAGAAATTCCTCAAGGAAAATTGCAAACGTCTGCCCAAAGATAGAAAGAAAAAAAAAAAAGAAATAGACAAAGAAGTAAGACAAGAGAAAAGCAGAGGAGTAACTGGAGTGCGTGTGTTTGTATAAGTGTGTGTGTTTGTTTGAAATGTGTACGTAAATGTTGGTGTGCGCAAAAAGTGCTGGAATTTCAATTTAAGCCAAAAAAGCCGACATCAGCAGCAGAGCAGTTAGTGGAATAAAAAAATAAAATATTAAAGGTGGAATAAACACAAGACGTCAAAAAATTAGAAAAAAATACAACCATAACGATAATAAAGGTGTTGGTGTTGATTCATTAATTTAAAATAATCATTTTGTGACAATAAAAACCTCTTACAAAGTGACTAAAAGAGGGCGGTGCTGCTACTACTAAAGTGAAAAAAGTATACAAAAAGAATAACTTCAAGGAGGGCCCCCTAACAAGAAACAAACAAAAAAAAAGGAGCCACTACAACCACATGTTTTATTATAATTTCTAAAAAAAAGTGATTTTTGTTTTCAATATTTTCCCATCAACAATAGTTGCCTGCCTGTACACGTATCCATTCCACAAAAAGGAGAACTGCTGGAACATCTTTTTATACATGTTTTAAGATTCTATTAAATTTTTTAATTTTTTGCATCTGATCATCACCATTATTATTTTTAACTGCTTTGGGGGCTACAAATCAAAATATAAATTACAATGATTTTGTTGGAAATCAATAATCGCATTGTCGAGGAGACTTTACTGGTTAAATTCCGTAATGCTATAGCCGGGTGAGTAATCGTTTCTGATAACAAAACGCCAGTCCAAGTAATGTTAATGCTTATCATTACTTTTTCATTCAGTTTATTCTATTATTTTTTAATTTATTTATGTTTTTTTTAGATACTTTTTGAAAATGTATTCGGGTGTAGTTCAATTTATTTGTTGTTGGTTGTACTGTGTGTGTGTTTTTTTTTTGTTTGTTCTTTTTTATTTTGACATTCGTTATGGATTTGTATTATTAAATAGCTGTCATTTTTATGTCATATGTATGTATTTTATATATACATATATGTAATATGGACATATCGATATATAAATTGTTATTGTATTTTTGCACTTTTCTGCCACAGCTCTGTTTTAACTCTGCTCACATTAGATGACATTTTTATACCCTACATCTTTATAGTATAATGTATATTATTCATTTATGTTGCTGTTTTTAACATTCAAATCACCTTCCCTGTTCTATAACCACCTGCCATGTAATCGAAATTCTGTTCACAATTTTGACAAGACTCGAATAGAATTATGCCAAGGACAACTCTTATTGGTTTTAGTTAAAGTCGGTCCATACATTCATTGTAATGGTTACACGGAATTGATGTTTAAATATTAATAACAATTTGCCATTACCTTCATACTTAATTGTGTGATCATCAATTCTAAAATACTCAATGAAATACTGAAATACAACTGGTGTACAGTGTCATATATTCGTTTATAACCATTAATAATTTCTACTTGTTTGAGCTCTTTTTATGGTTGTCATTATTTGTTGTTTTGTTTTGTCGAAATTAACACTTTGTGATAAATAATAACCAGTTTGTAATATCAATACAAATGATACAAAATGTTTGTGTCATTAGTGTAAATGAGTAAAATTATGACAAAATATCAAATTTGCACATATAAAATGACCAGAGAGTTCCCATAGAACTAAGATAAGTAACAAATTAATAAAGATACAATAATAATTCCTATAAAATTTTGTTATTCCTTTTAAATACACAATGTTTAAAATGAGGGTCATCAAACTTTGCAGATTGAAATATGTAGTTCATAGATTAGTTTATGGACTACTCTATTGACTAGTCTATTAATTAGTGTATGTACTAGTCTATTGTCCACATATACATAAGTCTAAAAGTGTGATCTTCTAGATCTAACAAAACCATCGTATACTTTGATAAAACCTTTTACTGAAAACAATCTTTATTAAAAGCTTTTCATAAACTTTTGAGGTTAACACCAAAGTTTCTAACTATAAATACACAATGTGGTCAAATGTTTTATATAAAAATTGTTTATAATTTTATATATTTTTTTTTCTACATACATACATCTATAATATACTTGCACATACTACATACATCATAATATTGTCCATACAATAACATTTATTGTCCGTAATATACAATAACAAACCAAATGAATGACTCAAACTAAATATGTTTAAAAAGCAAATGTGAAAAAAAACATATTAATTGAGTTTATGGAAATAAAAGTGAATAATCATAATGTAACGAATATGCACTTGTGTATAGAAATACTTATTATAAAAAAGGGGAGCGTAAAGTCGTACATATAATATCAAATCATGAAAAAAAAACCTTATTTTATCATTATTTTCTAGTTGTAAAATGCCATACACAAATTATTTTCTTTAAGGAGTGTGGGTATATATAGGAGGAAAAACTATATGTTTATTTTTTTTTAATACAATTTAGTTTCTGTTTATTTGTATGTCATTAAATTCTCTGTTATAATATTATCACACATACTATATGACGATTTATTTTACTACAACGAATAAGATCTGAATGAAAACGTGAAGGCATGTGTTTTGTGTTTTTTTTAAAACTAAGTACAATATAGTAGACTATCTGTACTATAACAGTGTCATTAAGTAGGATACGAGAACACTAGTTTTGTAATAAAATAGCTGTTAATGTTTTTATCTAAATGCTCTAGTTTTTTTCATAGTTATAACATTTTTATAAATAAATGTTGTTTAAATGAATATTACTCTTTTAGATCATATAGATCGTCTATAAAATTACATAGATTTTTCTTAAATTTTAATAATTTAATTACGAAAATTGTATGAAACAGTTATGAAAATTTTGTAAATTTAAAATTTTTCTAGCTTTATTGACTACTAGTCTTTGTAGTCCTCTATGGGATAGTCTATAAAATAGTCTATAGACAAGTCTATGCAATGGTCTAGGAACAAGTCTACGGGCTGGTCTATGAACGAGTCTATTGATTACGTTATTGACTAGTCTATGGACTAGACTATGGTCTTCTTCAAGGACTAGTATATTGAAAAGTTAATGAATTGGTCTATGGACAAGTCTATTGAATAGAATATGGACTGGCCTATTAATTAGGCTAGCCTATGGACTCGTCTGTGGACTAGTTTGTTGAATTTACTATTGACTAGTCTATGGAATGGTATATGGACAAGTCTATTGATTGGTATATAAACCATAGATATCTATAGACCAATCTATTAACTAGTCTATTGATTACTCAATTGATAAGCCTATTGACAAGTTTAAGAAATGGTCTAAGGACAAGTCTATTAACTAATCAACGGGATGAGGTATTTTACGAGTCTTTTGACTAGTTTATAGGCTAGTCTATTAACTAGTCCATTAACTAGTCTATGGACTAGCCTTTAGACAGGGAGTTAAAAGTGGGATTCTCTTGTTTTGAAAAGTTTTTCTCTCAAACACTCCAATAGAAAGCAATATTTATATTATATTTGCTTTCTTTTTATTGTTTTTTATTTTAATTCTTTAAATGATTTATTTGTTGCTTCAATACGTTGTTAAGTTTACTGTTGTGTTGATATCTTAATTTTGATTAGAAATATTTTTCAAATAGTATAATTGACAAAGAAGTGCAAAGATGGAACAATGAAAATTTATAATTATATTGGTAAACTTTTAAACATGTAAACATTTTTAGTGAATTTTTGGGAAATGGTTTAATTTGATTTTTTAATTAAAATTTGTATTTTTGAAAAAAATATATTTTTTAGTGAAAAATATATTTTTTAGTGAAAAATTTAATTTTTAATGAAAAATTTTGTTTCTAGTGAAAATTTTAATTAAAAATTTAGATTTTTTTTTAAAGATTTCTATGAAAAATTAGATTTTTTAATAAAAATGTTATTTTCAATCTGAACTAAACCTCAAGAAGAATTGTACCACCCACAACTAAACAAGAATTGACATAGAACTGAACAAGAACTGAGAAAAACTGAAAAAGAACTGAAGTAGAACTGAAGTAGAACTGAAGTAGAACTGAAGTAGAACTGAAGTAGAACTCAAGTAGAACTGAAGTAGAACTAAACTAGAACTGAACTAGAACTGAGCTAGGAATGAACTAGAACTGAACTAGGAATGAACTAGAACTGAAGTAGAACTGAAATAGAACTGAAGTAGAACTGAACAAGAACTGAACAAGAACTGAACTAGAACTGAACTAGAACTGAACTAGAACTGAACTAGAACTGAACTAGAACTGAACTAGAACTGAACTAGAACTGAACTAGAACTGAACTAGAACTGAACTAGAACTGAACTAGAACTGAACTAGAACTGAACTAGAACTGAACTAGAACTGAACTAGAACTGAACTAGAACTGAACTAGAACTGAACTAGAACTGAACTAGAACTGAACTAGAACTGAACTAGAACTGAACTAGAACTGAACTAGAACTGAACTAGAACTGAACTAGAACTGAACTAGAACTGAACTAGAACTGAACTAGAACTGAACTAGAACTGAACTAGAACTGAACTAGAACTGAACTAGAACTGAACTAGAACTGAACTAGAACTGAACTAGAACTGAACTAGAACTGAACTAGAACTGAACTAGAACTGAACTAGAACTGAACTAGAACTGAACTAGAACTGAACTAGAACTGAACTAGAACTGAACTAGAACTGAACTAGAACTGAACTAGAACTGAACTAGAACTGAACTAGAACTGAACTAGAACTGAACTAGAACTGAACTAGAACTGAACTAGAACTAAACTAGAACTGAACTAGAACTGAACTAGAACTGAACTAGAACTGAACTAGAACTGAACTAGAACTGAACTAGAACTGAACTAGAACTGAACTAGAACTGAACTAGAACTGAACTAGAACTGAACTAGAACTCAACTAGAACTGAACTAGAACTGAACTAGAACTGAACTAGAACTGAACTAGAACTGAACTAGAACTGAACTAGAACTGAACTAGAACTGAACTAGAAACTGAACTAGCACTGAACTAGAACTGAACTAGAACTGACTAGAACTGAACTAGAACTGAACTAGAACTGAACTAGAACTGAAAACTAGAACTGAACTAGAACTGAACTAGAACTTGAACTAGAACTGAACTAGAACTGAACTAGAACTGAACTAGAACTGAACTAGAACTGAACTAGAACTGAACTAGAACTGAACTAGAACTGAACTAGAACTGAACTAGAACTGAACTAGAACTGAACTAGAACTGAACTAGAACTGAACTAGAACTGAACTAGAACTGAACTAGAACTGAACTAGAACTGAACTAGAACTGAACTAGAACTGAACTAGAAACTGAACTAGAACTGAACTAGAACTGAACTAGAACTGAACTAGAACTGACTAGAACTGAACTAGAACTGAACTAGAACAGAACTAGAACTGAACTAGAACTGAACTAGAACTGAACTAGAACTGAACTAGAACTGAACTAGAACTGAACTAGAACTGAACTAGAACTGAACTAGAACTGAACTAGAACTGAACTAGAACTGAACTAGAACTGAACTAGAACTGAACTAGAACTGACTAGAACTGAACTAGAACTGAACTAGAACTGAACTAGAACTGAACTAGAACTGAACTAGAACTGAACTAGAACTGAACTAGAACTGAACTAGAACTGAACTAGAACTGAACTAGAACTGAACTAGAACTGAACTAGAACTGAACTAGAACTGAACTAGAACTGAACTAGAACTGAACTAGAACTGAACTAGAACTGAACTAGAACTAGACTAGAACTAGAACTGAACTAGAACTGAACTAGAACTGAACTAGAACTGAACTAGAACTGAACTAGAACTGAACTAGAACTGAACTAGAAATGGACGAGAATTTAAAAATTACGATACAAATTTTGTCATTGTCATTTGTATTTTATTCAATCTTACTCATATCTTAAACATGTTTAAATTATTTATTTATTTATTTATTTATTCAAACAAATATAAAAGCCTTCATAGGCCAATTAAACTATATCCTGCATAGCATACATTACTAATTTATAATTTTGTTTTCTATTTTAGATTAAAACCAGAATCAATAGATGTTAAAATAGCGGATTTTGATGGAGTTTTATTTCACATTTCCAACATAAATGGAGATAAAACTAAAGTCAGAGTAAGTTTTAATGGAATTTAATTAATTAATTAAACTACTCTTACAACAAAATTGTTACTGATTTCAATACAACAACAGCGAACGAATTTCATATACCATTGCAAACCTAATTAAATTGTGTTACTACATATAATTAACAATTTCTTAATATAAATGACTAAAAGTATAAACATAAAATCAGATTAAAAACTTTAAATCTATTTATGCTCTTTTTATTTTCTCTGTTTTATTAACGTACAATAAAATTTATTATTATTATTTTTTTTAATTTCAGACCAGCATTTCTTTAAAATTTTATCAACAATTACAAGAACATGGTGCCGACGAATTGCTCAAGCGTGAATATGGTAGTCTCTTAACTGACACGGAAGATGGTTAGTGTTATACATACCTTTTTTATTCTTATTCTTTGCAATTTTGATTTTATGGTTTTAAATGTTTATTTTTCTTATTTCCCCCTTAAAAAACAAAAGGTTACAATGTATCCGTACTTATTAATTTAGAAGATATACCCTCAGACTGGGAACAAGTGGCCAAAAAAATTGGTTTATTAAAGCGTAATTGTTTCGCATCAGTTTTTGAAAAATATTTCGATTTTCAAGAACAAGGTGAAGAGGGACAAAAACGTGCTGTTATCAATTATAGAAACGATGAGACTTTGTAAGTGTATTCTTTATTTTGTCAAACTATTATTAATTACTAATGTTTTTGAATTTAATTTTATAGATATGTTGAAGCCAAAGCGGATCGTGTTACTGTTGTTTTTAGTACCATATTCCGTGATGAAGATGATGTTGTTATAGGTAAAGTTTTTATGCAAGAATTACGAGAAGGTCGGCGTGCATCGCATACTGCACCACAAGTGCTCTTTTCCCATCGTGAACCACCATTGGAATTGGCTAATACGGATGCTAAAGTTGGCGATAATATTGGTTATGTTACATTTGGGTAAGTGCATTTTTTGAAATTGAAATATTATATTTTGTTGGGGAGTTAAAAGTGGGATATTCTTGTTTCATAAAGTTTTTCTCTCATATACTCTAGAATAATTTAAAAAGTTTAACGAAATTTGAAAATTTTACTTTTTTTTTTTCGAAAAATTGTGAACTTGTACAAACAAATTAAAAATTATTTTTTAAAAAATAAAAAATAATTCTACTGCACTGAACTAGAAACTGAACTAGAACTGACTAGAACTGAACTAGAACCTGAACTCTAGAACTGAACGAGACTGAACTAGAATACTAGAACTGAACTAGAACTGAACTAGAACTGAACTAGAACTGAAGCATACTGAATACTGAAACTAGATCCCTACTAGAACCTAGAACTGAACTAGACTGAACTAGAAACTAGAACTGAACTAGAACTGAAATAGAACTGAACTAGAACTGAACTAGAACTGAACTAGAACTGAACTAGAACTGAACTAGAACTGAACTAGAACTGAACTAGAACTGAACTAGAACTGAACTAGAACTGAACTAGAACTGAACTAGAACTGAACTAGAACTGAACTAGAACTGAACTAGAAACTGAACTAGAACTGAACTAGAACTGAACTAGAACTGAACTAGAACTGAACTAGAACTGAACTAGAACTGAAATAGAACTGAACTAGAACTGAACTAGAACTGAACTAGAACTGAACTAGAACTGAACTAGAACTGAACTAGAACTGAACTAGAACTGAACTAGAACTGAACTAGAACTGAACTAGAACTGAACTAGAACTGAACTAGAACTGAACTAGAACTGAACTAGAACTGAACTAGAACTGAACTAGAACTGAACTAGAACTGAACTAGAACTGAACTAGAACTGAACTAGAACTGAACTAGAACTGAACTAGAACTGAACTAGAACTGAACTAGAACTGAACTAGAACTGAACTAGAACTGAACTAGAACTGAACTAGAACTGAACTAGAACTGAACTAGAACTGAACTAGAACTGAACTAGAACTGAACTAGAACTGAACTAGAACTGAACTAGAACTGAACTAGAACTGAACTAGAACTGAACTAGAACTGAACTAGAACTGAACTAGAACTGAACTAGAACTGAACTAGAACTGAACTAGAAAACTAGAACTGAACTAGAACTGAACTAGAACTGAACTAGAACTGAACTAGAACTGAACTAGAACTGAACTAGAACTGAACTAGAACTGAACTAGAACTGAACTAGAACTGAACTAGAACGAACTACTGAACTAGAACTGAACTAGAACTGAACTAGAACTGAACTAGAACTGAACTAGAACTGAACTAGAACTGAACTAGAACTGAACTAGAACTGAACTAGAACTGAACTAGAACTGAACTAGAACTGAACTAGAACTGAACTAGAACTGAACTAGAACTGAACTAGAACTGAACTAGAACTGAACTAGAACTGAACTAGAACTGAACTAGAACTGAACTAGAACTGAACTAGAACTGAACTAGAACTGAACTGAACTAGAACTGAACTAGAACTGAACTAGAATTGAACTAGAACTGAACTAGAATGAACTAGAACTGAACTAGAACTGAACTAGAACTGAACTAGAACTGAACTAGAACTGAACTAGAACTGAACTAGAACTGAACTAGAACTGAACTAGAACTGAACTAGAACTGAACTAGAACTGAACTAGAACTGAACTAGAACTGAACTAGAACTGAACTAGAACTGAACTAGAACTGAACTAGAACTGAACTAGAACAGAACTAGAACTGAACTAGAACTGAACTAGAACTGAACTAGAACTGAACTAGAACTGAACTGAACTGAACTAGAACTGAACTAGAACTGAACTAGAACTGAAATAGAACTGAACTAGAACTGAACTAGAACTGAACTAGAACTGAACTAGAACTGAACTAGAACTGAACTAGAACTGAACTAGAACTGAACTAGAACTGAACTAGAACTGAACTAGAACTGAACTAGAACTGAACTAGAACTGAACTAGAACTGAACTAGAACTGAACTAGAACTGAACTAGAACTGAACTAGAACTGAACTAGAACTGAACTAGAACTGAACTAGAACTGAACTAGAACTGAACTAGAACTGAACTAGAACTGAATTAGAACTGAACTAGAATTAAAGAAGTCTTACTCTTAAATACTCCAATATGAACTCCATGATGAAAAGGAAAAGAAAAATTTAATCTTGTGATAAATCATAAATTGTACAAATTTCAGATTAAAATCTTTATAAAGTAAATGCTTTAGTTGTTGTTTAATAGGAGTTAAAAGTGGGTAATTCTTGACTTAAAAAGTCTTACTCTCAAATACTCCTAAAGAAATTTATACCAGTTAAATGATAAAGGGGAAAGAGCAATTTAAATCTTTTGTCAAATCATAAACTTGAACAAATTTTTAGAATTTTTTTTAACGGTAGCTTATGTAAGTCCTAAATTGGTCGGAGTTAAAAGTGGGATATTCTTGCCTTAAAAAGTTTTTCTCTCAAACACTCCAATAAGAACTCAACGGAACTGAATGATAAAAATAAAAGGAACATTTTATTCTTTCTCAAAAACAGAAAGTTGAACAAATATTTTATTAATTTTAATGAAAAATTTAACTAATTTACGTTATAATTTGTTTGGAGTTAAAAGTGGGCAATTCTTGTTTGAAAAAGTTTTTCTCTCAAACACTCCTAAAGAATTTTTTTTCAGTTAAATGATATAAGAAAAAGAAGAATAAATTCTTTTGCTAAATCCTTAACTTGAACAAATTTTGAAATAGTTTTTTTTTTTTTAAGTGGAAACTCTATCAAGTTATAATTTGTCAGGAGTTAAAAGTGGGTAATTCTTGTTTAAAAAAGTCATTCTTGTTTAAAAAGTCTTACTTACAAGATACAATTACATTTTCAATAAGAAGTATTTAATAAAAATTATGTTTCTCTTTTTAATTGCAGTGCTCTTTCCACGTCATACTAATAAAGAAACTAGAGATAATACCATTAATTTAATACATATGTTCCGAGATTATTTACATTACCACATCAAGGTTGGTTTACTATTAACATTTTATAATCTTTTTATAATTTCCTAAATAAATTATTTATTATCCGAACAAATTACAGTGTTCAAAGGCTTATATACACTCTAGAATGCGTGCAAAAAACCTCAGACTTCTTAAAAGTTCTTAATCGTGCAAGACCAGAAGCTAAAAATATGGAAAAGAAAACTATAACGTAATTATTTTATTAACCCTTAACGATATAAAATTATTTTTAATTTGTTTTTTACTTTCTATTTTCTGTTTAGGGGGAGAACATTTATACGCAAAGAATGATTTATGGACCATGTCTAGTTGTTTTTTTTTATTAAATGTATTAATTTTGTATTATTAAAGAAAACTAATAAAGTAATAATAAACATACGAAGTAAACAAATACATTTTCCATACAAAAATTCAACAAAAAAAGCAAAAAACAAAAATTTCTTCATCTTATCTGGAAACAACAAAAGCAAACAAACGCCAATTTAAACTTAAACAAGAAAATAAAAAGAAAACTCTTAAAAAAAACGGTATTCCAAAAGTTATAACTTGTCTTACAAATTAAAAATAAATTGAAAAAAAAAACACAAAAACAAACATACGAAACTAAATATTTAAGTTAAATAAAAAAAAATAAAATAAAACTAAATAATGTGGTTTAACCCTTAAGTAATATAAACAAATTATTGTAATAATAAAGTAATAATTAATTTTTAGTTCTTTTTTTTTTTGTATTATTTTTATTTTTTTAATTTGTGAAAAATCAAACAAAACCTAAAAAAACGAAAAATCAATAATTATAATAAAAAATAAAAGAAAATTTGTTAAAAAAAATACTTTAAAGAAAAATCAATAAAAATACAATCCAAAACTTTCCTAACGAAAACAAAAAATAAGTAACAATGAAAACAAAAACTGTCCCATTTTAATGGAAACTGAAAAGAAAACGAAGGGGAGGGGGGAAAGGGGAGAGGAGGGCAAGCAAGAGGAGCAGAGGGAAGGGGGAGGGGAGAGGAGACAAAAGGGGAAGAGGCGGAAAAAGCAACGCGGGGAAGGGAGAGAGCGGAGAAGAAGAACAAGAAAAAAAGCGGGGGAAGAGAGAAAAACGAAAACAGAGAGAAGGGGAGAAGACGGGAGAAAGAAGGGAGAGAGCGAGCGAGAGCGAGCGAGCGAGCGAGCGAGCGAGCGAGCGAGCGAGCGAGCGAGCGAGCGAGAGCGAGGAGCGAGCGAGCGAGCGAGCGAGCGAGGAGCGAGCGAGCGAGCTAGCGAGCGAGCGAGCGAGCGAGCGAGCAGCGAGAGAGAGAGCGAGCGAGCGAGCGAGCGAGCGAGCGAGCGAGCGAGCGAGCGAGCGAGAGCGAGCGAGCGAGAGAGCGCGCGAGCGAGCGAGCGAGCGAGCGAGCGAGCGAGCGAGCGAGCGAGCGAGCGAGCGAGCGAGCGAGCGAGCGAGCGAGCGAGCGAGCGAGCGAGCGAGCGAGCGAGGAGCGAGCGAGCGAGCGAGCGAGCGAGCGAGCGAGCGAGGAGCGAGCGAGCGAGCGAGCGAGCGAGCAGCAGCGAGCGAGCGAGCGAGCGAGCGAGCGAGCGAGAGCGAGCGAGCGAGAGCGAGCGAGCGAGCTAGCGAGCGAGCGAGCGAGCGAGCGAGCGAGAGAGCTAGCGAGCGAGCGAGAGAGCGAGCGAGCGAGCGAGCTAGCGAGCAGCGAGCGAGCGATCGAGCGAGAGCGAGCGAGCGAGCGAGCGAGCTATCGATCTATCGAGCGATCGATAGCGAGCTATCTATCTATCTATCGATCGATCTACTAGCTCTATCGATATCGATCTATCTATCTATCGATCTATCTATCTATACTATATATATCTACCTACTTGGCTAAACAAAGAAATTCGCAGTAAATTTAATTTTCATAAAATTATTGAATATTTAATACAGTTTTTTTAGTAATACTTAATTATTTTTAAATTTATAGTAAAATGCTTATAAAATTTTAAAATTATTTTAATCATACGCTTTTTAAGGCATTTTCTTCATTTAAACTTTAATATTATCAATTGTGGCAATTTGATTTTTGAGTTTATTTATATCCTTATCTAAACTCTCCACACTATTACATTGTTTCGTCAGATAGTGAGTTTGTATGTATTCAATAGCTGCAATATAAAACCAAATAAAAATAGTTATTGAAAATTTTAAGAAACAATTTTAAGTGTAAAATCTTAATTTTAATCGGTGCTTTGCCATAATTATTATTGCTTTCATTATGTAATATATTTATACATATATTTAATATAATTTACCTTTTTTGCATTTGTTAAAAAAGTCCTTTTAACTTAAAAGAATTTTATGGTTCATCATATTCATCCAATTTAATGTAAGCAAGTGCTGTGTGGCAGTAGTTTGTATTTTTTGTTTATTTTTAAGTAGATTTTTTTTTAAGTGTTTAAAGTTTTATATAAAGAAGGAGGAATAAGGAAGTTTGATTATAGTTTAAGGTTATAATAGATGTAGTATTCTTTAAATAAATATTATGAAAAGAAAAATTAAGAAATAAATGTGCAAAATGCTAAGAAATTTAAAAAATTTTAAACAGGATTGTCACAAATTCCAAACGGATTTACTTCTTTACATTCTAATTTATTTTGCTTATTAAATTAATAATGTTTTTAATAAATATTTTGATTAGAACTTTAAAAAATACCAATAATTACAAACCATTTTCTATTCACACTTAAAATGTGAAAGCAGTTCCAATGTGAGAATAAATTTCGTGTAATTTATTTTAAATTTCGAAGGGATTGGAATTTTGTGACAGGAGGGCTTATTACATACATATTTATATTAATATAATACATATTACTAAAATTATATATTTAATAGCTCTTTCAACAAATGTTATTGTTTTGCAGACTAATGTATATAAACATTATGCCAAGAAATATCACCAAATAATCGATCAAATAAAACACGTTTTTGCTATACTTTGACATGTTTTTAAGCATAAAATGGCGATATGTGTTTGACCCCAAAATAATTTATGACATTTTCAAAGAAAGAAGTCAACAGGGGCTTGGCTCGGTCATGAATACATCACATCAACACTTACTAATATGTTTATAAAAAGAGAGATGATAATAAATTGTATACATTTTTATAGTACAATGCAAAAATTATCGTACACCAGTGTTTTTTTTAATTTTTAGAACTTTGAGGTGTACGTATCAGAAATTTGAACAAAGTCCATTCAATGAAATTCTGTTATAGTAAAAACTCTAGTGGATGTTATAAAAATCGAGACATTATTTGATATAGTTCCCTCGAAGCTCAAAAAATTAAGTTTTTTTTCGTAAGATAGATAGATAGATAGGTAGATAGATAGATAGATAGATAGATAGATAGATAGATAGATAGATAGATAGATAGATAGATAGATAGATAGATAGATAGATAGATAGATAGATAGATAGATAGATAGATAGATAGATAGATAGATAGATAGATAGATAGATAGATAGATAGATAGATAGATAGATAGATAGATAGATAGATAGATAGATAGATAGATAGATAGATAGATAGATAGTAGATAGATAGATAGATAGATAGATAGATAGATAGATAGATAGATAGATAGATAGATAGATAGATAGATAGATAGATAGATAGATAGATAGATAGATAGCTTAGATAGATAGATAGAGTAGATAGATAGATAGATAGATAGATAGATAGATAGATAGATAGATAGATAGATAGATAGATAGATAGATAGATAGATAGATAGATAGATAGATAGATAGATAGATAGATAGATAGATAGATAGATAGATAGATAGATAGATAGATAGATAGATAGATAGATAGATAGATAGATAGATAGATAGATAGATAGATAGATAGATAGATAGATAGATAGATAGATAGATAGATAGATAGATAGATAGATAGATAGATAGATAGATAGATAGATAGATAAGATAGATAGATAGATAGATAGATAGATAGATAGATAGATAGATAGATAGATAGATAGATTTATAGATTTTGATGTTGATACAAACCTACAATATTATAAATAAACTGGTTCCTTATAAAATTCAAAATCGATCAAGGTTTTAACCTTGAAGAAACCGAAATTATCTACAAATGTCACCTGTTTGATATTATAAAAAGGGATCAAAGAAAAATACGTCCGATGTTCCTTTCTTATATAAGTGAGATATGTATGATCTTAGTAGAATTATACATTTTTCTATAAATTTTTGGAATCAAAAGTAAAAAGTTATGTCCCTATATTCAAGAATAAAATGCAATAAGTCCTAATACACAGGACATAGAAATTTTAATAACTAAAGAACGTATACTTTTGCTTTTGACTATAAAAGTTTAATGCGTGTTAAACACGACCTGTAAAAGTATATACAAATATGAGGGTAAATGTAAAGAAGAGAATACTAATTCCAAAGGAAGTATTTTACATAAACGTACAGTTATTTACATTAAGATTTTTTCATAAAAAAGTCCATAATTAAAATTGCACTTATTTACAGTGATTGAGATAAGAAATAAAATTGAATTTAAAAGAAAACTTTTAATAAAAATAAGTTTTTACCTTTTTGTAAATCCATATCATCCATTTCAGAATTTTAATTTGTTGTAATTTTTCTCGAAATTTCTTAGTAATCTGTTTCCTTTGATAATCAGCTTCGATTTCCTGTTTGGTGCGCGGTATTCGAAATCTCATGCAGCAGCACACCATTATGACTTTATAAATGTTTCGAATTAGTATTTATTATAATTATAATTATTTTTGTTTTTTTAATTTTCAAACTTTACCTATACTCAATAAAATGCCCACACAAAATGCTATAATATGCCAAACTCTAAATTCCCCAATTGTTGTGGTCTGTTCTAGCCAAGCTGTTTCAGGATTTGGTTCCATAAATTCTTTATCCTCATCGACACTCATGCTGATTTATTTATTTTTTATTTCAATTATTTTTTGTTATATGTAAATTAACAAGTTTTTAGTTTAATTAGAGTATTTATTTGTTTAACCGTTATATTTTTATAACGTTTGTATTCCGAATGTTTGTAACAGACTAACATTTGAATATTCTGCTTTAGACAAAAAGACCTATCCTTTTTTACAGTTAGCTTTTGCTAGCCATTAAGATTTATTTAAATATACAGGGTGAGTAAACAAATGTTGGAGAATATAGCGTGTGTATGTATTATTAAGCATAAATAGTTAAAGAAATGAGGAAACAACTTAAAAAAGAAACTTGGTTCGTTGGTGGGTTCTAAAATTTAGAGAATTTCATGGATAACCCTGTATCTTTTTTTTTCTTAGAAAAACAACATACACATACAAAAATAGCCATAGTTTTTTTTTATTTTAGAAAAAAACTGAAAAATATCATTAGAAAATATGTGATGTTTAAATATGCCACTAACACTATATCATTTCGTATTAGAAGCCCAACAGCCAAATGCCACCACACAGAAATGCTCTAAATAATACGAGAACAGTTTAAAAAGTGATTTATTCCTTCAATCAGTTCAGGCTAAAATAAGATTTTGTACAGTTCTAGACAAGTTTTATTTTAGTTCAGTTCTGGTTCAGTTCTAGTTCAGTTTTAGTTCAGTTCTAGTTCAGTTCTAGTTCAGTTCTAGTTCAGTTCTAGTTCAGTTCTAGTTCAGTTCTAGTTCAGTTCTAGTTCAGTTCTAGTTCAGTTCTAGTTTCAGTTCTAGTTCAGTTCTAGTTCAGTTCTAGTTCAGTTCTAGTTCAATTTCTAGTTCAGTTCTAGTTCAGTTCTAGTTCAGTTCTAGTTCAGTTCTAGTTCAGTTCTAGTTCAGTTCTAGTTCAGTTCTAGTTCAGTTCTAGTTCAGTTCTAGTTCTAGTTCAGTTCTAGTTCAGTTCTAGTTCAGTTCTAGTTCAGTTCTAGTTCAGTTCTAGTCAGTTCTAGTTCAGTTCTAGTTCAGTTCTAGTTCAGTTCTAGTTCAGTTCTAGTTCAGTTCTAGTTCAGTTGTAGTTCAGTTGTAGTTCAGTTGTAGTTCAGTTGTAGTTCAGTTCTAGTTCAGTTCTAGTTCAGTTGTAGTTCAGTTGTAGTTCAGTTCTAGTTCAATTATAGTTCAGTTCAGTTCAGTTCTAGTTCAGTTCTAGTTCAGTTCTAGTTCAGTTCTAGTTCAGTTCTAGTTCAGTTCTAGTTCAGTTCTAGTTCAGTTCTAGTTCAGTTCTAGTTCAGTTCAGTTCAGTAGTTCAGTTCTAGTTCAGTTCTAGTTCAGTTCTAGTTCAGTTATAGTTCATTATAGTTCAGTTCTAGTTCAGTTCTAGTTCAGTTCTAGTTCAGTTCTAGTTCAATTTAGTTCAGTTCTAGTTCAGTTCTAGTCAGTTCTAGTTCAGTTCTAGTTCAGTTCTGTTCAGTTCTAGTTCAGTTCTAGTTCAGTTCTAGTTCAGTTCTAGTTCAGTTCTAGTTCAGTTCTAGTTCAGTTCTAGTTCAGTTTAGTTCAGTTCTAGTTCAGTTCTAGTTCAGTTCTAGTTCAGTTCTAGTTCAGTTCTAGTTCAGTTCTAGTTCAGTTCTAGTTCAGTTCTAGTTCAGTTCTAGTTCAGTTCTAGTTCAGTTGTAGTTCAGTTGTAGTTCAGTTGTAGTTCAGTTGTAGTTCAGTTCTAGTTCAGTTCTAGTTCAGTTCTAGTTCAGTTTAGTTCAGTTGTAGTTCAGTTCTAGTTCATTATAGTTCAGTTCTAGTTCAGTTCTAGTTCAGTTCTAGTTCAGTTGTAGTTCAGTTCTAGTTCATTATAGTTCAGTTCTAGTTCAGTTGTAGTTCAGTTCTAGTTCAGTTCTAGTTCAGTTCTAGTTCAGTTGTAGTTCAGTTGTAGTTCAGTTCTAGTTCAATTATAGTTCAGTTCTAGTTCAGTTCTAGTTCAGTTGTAGTTCAGTTGTAGTTCAGTTGTAGTTCAGTTGTAGTTCAGTTGTAGTTCAGTTCTAGTTCAGTTCTAGTTCAGTTGTAGTTCAGTTGTAGTTCAGTTGTAGTTCAGTTGTAGTTCAGTTCTAGTTCAATTATAGTTCAGTTCTAGTTCAGTTCTAGTTCAGTTCTAGTTCAGTTCTTGTTCAGTTCTAGTTCAGTTCTTGCTCAGTTCTAGTTCAGTTCTAGTATGCAATACAATTTTGACAAAAAATGGAACGGAACAATAACTTCCAAAGTCGCAATAAGAGTTTTTGAAAAGCCCTCTTATTAAAAGGACTTTTTAGTCTGTCCTTGTGTTAATATAATTCTTAACATATTAATACAAATATACAAACACATAATACTGTCGGAACCGAACAAAAGCATACACATTACATCAAGGAGTGTCACAGCACGACTATATGTATACATTCCTAATATATTATTTTTATACCCAACTATGGAAAAAATACTAAATAGATGAAGTACCTCTAGTTAACTTATTCTACCCTACAGGATACCAAGAGTCAAACAGCCTGGACGATAAGTATAGAAAGAAATAGGTTTCCTCAAATTTTCAAAAATTTAAATAAATATACAATTTTTGTCTAAATACTAAACTTTGAAAATGGTCTTTTCTTTCTATAGGGTAACTCCTCTTAACTGTTTATCGCCTAAACTATTTAATTATTTCTTTGTTTAGTGCTGCCTAGTTCTAAGCACAAGACAAGAAATGGAACACCTAACCATTGATCGAAACAACCAACCTAAAACACTTTAATACCAGAGTCCTCTTTTGCATTTCTCTAGTTTGTTGATATCCTTATGATAAACTCCTACATTACTCTACTGGAATAAGTATGTAAATGAAAATTGTAAAAATAATTGAAACAACAACTAACTGGAGTTAAAAAGGCACTCCCTGCTATATGAATTTAATTTAAGTTGTTTTGAAATTAAAAAATGTTTTTTTTTTATAAAAAGATACCCTCACTACATTAAAACGACTACTACAACTACAGTTTATCTTGCAAATTGGCCTTTTGAAGAGCAAGTGAATTTACTAGAAATTCAAATGATTACTAGAGTACATATAGATTTGTATTTATCCATATGTATGTAAGTATGTATGTATGGATGTATGTATGGCTGTAAGTACCAAAATTTAAGGTGCGTGTTATTTGAAATTTTCTATTTTCGTGTGTTTTTTTTTGTTTTTAGCCCATATTTTTATTGCATTATTACTGAATCGTTTTTTTTTTTGGTTGCATGTTGCTGATGTTTTTAAAATGTTGAAGTTGTCACTTTTATGATTTTAATGGTGAAATTACATTATAAAACTAAAACAAAATAACTTACATACATTGGATTCCCCTCACTGGTCATTTGGTAGTTTTAAATGTTTTAAAGTTAATAAATTATCACAAACGGTCTAAGGGGGATTTAACGATTAAAATATGATTTTTGCAAAGAATTAGACTATAATACTGACTATACACAGAACAATAGGCAAGATTAAATATTTAGTAGACTATAAACTAGAATATAGACAAGGCTATAGTTTAGACTATAGACTAGATAAGACTATAAACTAGAATATAGACTAGGCTATAGATTAGACTATAGACTAGATTAGACTACAGACTAGATTAGAGTATAGACTAGACTATAGATTAGACTATAGACTAGGACTTTAGGCTGGACTCTAGACTAGACTATAGATTAGACTTTAGGCTAGACTATAGACTATAGGCTAGACTTTAGACCATAGCCTAGACTATAGGCAAGACTATTAGACTTGTACTATAGACTAGACTAGACTATAGACTAGACTATAGACTAGACTATAGACTAGACTATAGACTAGACTATAGACTAGACTATAGACTAGATAGACTAGACTATAGACTAGACTATAGACTAGACCTAGACTAGACTATGATTAGACTAGACTACATAGACTAGACTATAGACTAGACTATAGACTAGACTATAGACTAGACTATAGACTAGACTATAGACTAGACTATAGACTAGACTATAGACTAGACATACTAGACTATAACTAGACTATAGACTAGACTATAGACTAGACTATAGACTAGACTATAGACTAGACTATAGACTAGACTATAGACTAGACTATAGACTAGACTATAGCTAGACTATAGACTAGACTATAGACTAGACTATAGACTAGACTATAGACTAGACTATAGACTAGACTATAGACTAGACTATAGACTAGACTATAGACTAGACTATAGACTATACTATAGACTAGACTATAGACTAGACTATAGACTAGACTATAGACTAGACTATAGACTAGACTATAGACTGACTATAGACTAGACTATGACTAGACTATAGACTAGACTAAGAGATAGAACTAAGACTAGACTATAGACTAGACTTAGGACTAGACTATAGACTAGACTATATACTAGACTATATACTAGACTATAGACTAGACTATAGACTAGACTATAGACTATAGACTATAGACTATAGACTAGACTAGACTATAGACTAGACTATAGACTAGACTATAGACTAGACTATAGACTAGATTATAGACTAGACTATAGACTAGACTGTAGACTAGACTATAGACTAGACTATAGACTAGACTATAGACTAGATTATAGACTAGACTGTAGACTAGACTATAGACTAGACTATAGACTAGACTATAGACTAGACTGTAGACTAGACTATAGACTAGACTATAGACTAGACTATAGACTGGACTATAGACTAGACTATATACTAGACTATAGACTAGACTATAGACTAGACTATAGACTAGACTATAGACTAGACTATAGACTAGACTATAGACTAGACTATAGACTAGACTATAGACTAGACTATAGACTAGACTATAGACTAGACTAGACTATAGTCTAGACTATAGACTAGACTATAGACTAGACTATAGACTAGACTATAGACTAGACTATAGACTAGACTATAGACTAGACTATAGACTAACTATCGACTAGACTATAGACTAGACTATAGACTAGACTAGACTATAGACTAGACTATAGACTAGACTATAGACTAGACTGTAGACTAGACTATAGACTAGACTATAGACTAGACTATAGACTAGACTATAGACTAGACTATAGACTAGACTATAGACTAGACTGTAGACTAGACTATAGACTAGACTATAGACTAGACTATAGACTAGACTATAGACTAGACTGTAGACTAGACTATAGACTAGACTATAGACTAGACTATAGACTAGACTATAGACTAGACTATAGACTAGACTGTAGACTAGACTATAGACTATAGACTAGACTATAGACTAGACTATAGACTAGACTATAGACTAGACTATAGGCTAGACTATAGACTAGACTGTAGACTAGACTATAGACTAGACTATAGACTAGACTATAGACTAGACTATAGACTAGACTATAGACTAGACTATAGACTAGACTATAGACTAGACTATAGACTAGACTATAGACTAGACTATAGACTAGACTATAGACTAGACTATAGACTAGACTATAGACTAGACTATAGACTAGACTATAGACTAGACTATAGACTAGACTATAGACTATACTATAGACTAGACTATAGACTAGACTATAGACTAGACTATAGACTAGACTATAGACTAGACTATAGACTAGACTATAGACTAGACTATAGACTAGACTGTAGACTAGACTATAGACTATAGACTAGACTGTAGATTAGACTATAGACTAGACTATAGACTAGACTATAGACTAGACTATAGACTAGACTATAGACTAGACTATAGACTAGACTATATACTAGACTATAGACTAGACTATAGACTAGACTATAGACTAGACTATAGACTATAGACTAGACTGTAGACTAGACTATAGACTAGACTATAGACTAGACTATAGACTAGACTATAGACTAGACTATAGACTAGACTATAGACTAGACTATAGACTAGACTATAGACTAGACTATAGACTAGGACTGACTAGACTATAGACTAGACTATAGACTAGACTATAGACTAGACTATAGACTAGACTATAGACTAGACTATAGACTAGACTATAGACTAGACTATAGACTAGACTATAGACTAGACTATAGACTAGACTATAGACTAGACTAGACTAGACTAGACTATAGACTAGACTATAGACTAGACTATAGACTAGACTATAGACTAGACTATAGACTAGACTATAGACTAGACTATAGACTAGACTTAGACTAGACTATAGACTAGACTATAGACTAGACTGTAGACTAGACTATAGACTAGACTATAGACTAGACTAGTAGACTAGACTATAGACTAGACTATAGACTAGACTGTAGACTAGACTATAGACTATAGACTAGACTATAGACTAGACTATAGACTAGACTATAGACTAGACTATAGGACTAGACTATAGACTAGACTAGTAGACTAGACTATAGACTAGACTATAGACTAGACTATAGACTAGACTATAGACTAGACTATAGACTAGACTATAGACTAGACTATAGATAGACTATAGACTAGACTATAGACTAGACTAAGACTAGACTATTAGACTAGACTATAGACTAGGACTATAGACTAGACTATAGACTAGACTATAGACTTAGACTATAACTAGACTATAGGACTCGACTATAGACTAGACTCTAGACTAGACTATAGACTTAGACTATAGACTAGACTATAGACTAGACTAAGACTAGACTATTAGGAAGACTATAGACTAGACTATGACAGACTATAGACTAGAACTATAGATAGACTATAGACTAGAATATAGACTAGACTATAGACTAGACTATAGACTAGACTATAGACTAGACTATAGACTAGACTATAAACTAGACTATAGACTAGGACTATAGACTAGACCTATAGACTAGACTATAGACTAGACTATGACTAGACTATAGACGCGACTATAGACTAGACTATAGACTAGACTATAGACTAGACTATAGACTAGACTATAGGACTAGACTATAGGACTAGACTATAGACTAGACTATAGACTAGACTATAGACTAGACTATAGACTAGACTATAGACTAGACTATAGACTAGACTATAGACTAGACTATAGACTAGACTATAGACTAGACTATAGACTAGACTATAGACTAGACTATAGACTAGACTATAGACTAGACTATAGACTAGACTATAGACTAGACTATAGACTAGATAGACTAGACTATAGACTAGACTATAGACTAGACTATAGACTAGACTATAGACTAGACTATAGACTAGACTATAGACTAGACTAGACTATAGACTAGACTATAGACTAGACTATAGACTAGACTATAGACTAGACTATAGACTAGACTATAGACTAGACTATAGACTAGACTATAGACTAGACTATAGACTAGACTATAGACTAGACTATAGACTAGACTATAGACTAGACTATAGACTAGACTATAGACTAGACTATAGACTAGACTATAGACTAGACTATAGACTAGACTATAGACTAGACTATAGACTAGACTAGACTAGACTATAGACTAGACTATAGACTAGACTATAGACTAGACTATTAACTAGACTATTAACTAGACTATAGACTATAAAGACTGCTATTAAAAACTAACGAGAAACAAAACCATATCTGATATTGTAATTCACAATAATATTAATTGTGATTTATTTGCTATTAGATTAACTTATTCTAGATAACAACCCATATTTCCAGAAAGGAAATAAAACTTTTGACACTTTGCATTTGTCTCATTCACAATAAAAACAAATTCGTTATATTTTACAATTCTAACTATTACCACATGTTATCCTTCAAATTGTTTTACTCTTTCTCTCTGTTATGTGTGTTGGAATTATATCCTTTTACGAGTACACATAACAATTCTACTACTGCACTCGTTACATTTTAGCTCAAGTTACACTCCACCACAGAACGAAGAGGTGGAAACACGTCTAAAAAGTTGGCGTTTTTTTGTAATCGTAGAGTGAACGCTAGTTGAAAATTATTAAAATTAAAAGAAAAAAAAAAGTAATAAGGGAAAAAATACTTCCTAAGAACTAAAAACTATATATATATATATAAATGTATAGATAATATTATTATTAGGAAATAAAATAAACAAATTAAAGGGAAAATAATTATTAAATTGTTGATTTAAATTGAAAAAATATGGATATGCATTAAAGGAAATGTAAAGTGGAAAAAAGAAAGAATTTTGTAATGAAAGCACGATATTGTATGTTCTTATTGAAAAAAATTGGTGATGAAATTTTCATGGCAATGTATCATATTCAATGATTCCATACCAAAACCAATTTTTCCTTAGTTCTTGTTTTTCCCTACGAGAGTGTGAGTGTTTGTGGATTTTTTTTTTTAATTTTTTTTTAGTAATTTGAGGAAAGTGTAACTTAGAGAGTGTTAAAGTTAAAGAGATAAAGACCGTGGAAAGAAGGAAAGAAATTTAAATAAAAGTAAAAAAGTTTTGCAAATTTAAGAAAATTGTTGAGGTGAAGTTAAAAGAGTTGCAAAAGTGCTAAGATACTACTTACTATACTTTAGCAAAAAAAAAAAAAAAATCAAAGGGGCAGTTAGTTAGACTGGCAGTCAGTCCGTCGTTCAAGCAGCAAGCAACGTAATTATTTTTATCATCATTAACATCATTACACAAATAATATTATACTCGGCCCATATTTATTAAAAAAAAAAAAATAGAAAAAATCCAACGGTTTTTAACAGTTCGTGTTGGTGTTGAATTGATGTGTGAGAGAGTGAGTGAGAGTACCAGTGTTAGAGTGTTTGTGTAACCGTTACGTTTTATGAATAGAAAATAAGAAGACAAATACAAAAGTAAAAAAGAAGGTAGAAGAAAAAACAAGTGCAAAATATAAAACCACAATAACAACAACAACAACAAACAGAACGACATTAGTTATTTAAACTAACGAGTTAACTGTGTAAGCGTTATTTACCGTTATAAAAAGGAAATTGAAATAAAAGAGAAAAAGGACATTTAGAGCTTTAAAAGGAGAGTGTTGAGAAACGAGAGCAAATAAAACACAACATGTTTGAGTATGTGTGCAAGAGCTGTTGTTTTTTGTTATTGTTGTTGTTGCTTTTGTGAAAACCCAAGAAAATTTGTGAATGACTGTGTCACACAGTCACAATTTTATATATAGTGTATAGCATACTTTTAGGCATGGTATCATCGAGTTAAATACGTCGACGACGACCACACAATTACACACACTCTCAAACACTCACTATCCAAAAAAAAAAAAAAATTGAATTGTATTGAAAAAAACAACAAATAAAGGATAACAAAATCAAGAAAACAAAAATAGAAAAAATTAAAAAGCAGCAGCAAGCAGCAGTCTAAAGTGTAAAAAAGTGAGTTTTTTTCAAATTGTACAAGTGGTGTAAAACAGTCACCGAGAAAAAGGAAGTAGGAAGTATTCAATTTAAATACGAAAAGAATAGCTAAAGAAAAAAAATTAAAAATTTTATACCAAATATAAAAATAAAATATTTCCATAAAGTGTTAAATAATTAAGAAATATTATTAAAAAAGAAATCCTTCCTTTTAAAATAAAACAAACCAATTTAAAATTCACTACTTCTACTAAGCAGAAAAAAGTAGTCATTATCCTTTAAAAAAAGTAAAAAAAAAAAATTAAATGTGAAAAGAAAGGAAAATAAAAAAAATCGGCGACCTACTACCATACATCTATATCATACATATACATCTACAGATATCTACAACCAACGAGAGTCGTGAGTGTAAGTTTCGTTTAATAATTCGATTTATTCTGCTTCGGCACGTTTCCGCCTTTCGTTTTAAATCGCTCGCACGCTCGCCACAATTGCTCTATTTTTTTGTTTGTCCTTACAATTCGTTAAATTTTCTTTGCAGTTCATTTTAATTCATCTTCCTTTTATATTTCTTACAAAGTTTTTTCAAATTTCTAGCAAAAACAAAAAACTCTCAATTCCTCTTTTAAACAAAACCCAAAAAAAAAAAAAAAAAAATCAAAATTGTTGACTTTTTCCCTTATTTAGTCCCTTTTAATTCATTCATTCTTTATTAATTTAAACTCTATAATCGTAATAATATTAAAACATTAACTTGTATATGAAGTTATATTAATTACTTGACATTTAACTCTAATTTATTTAATTTTCTTTTCGTTTTGTAAATGTCATCGTTGGTATTTGTATTAAAGTTTTGTGTCATGTCAACATACTTTTTTTACCGTTATTTGTATTATTGTTGTTGTTATTATTCTTAAACAGATGACAGTAATCGTCATGGTAGTCATTTCCGCAAAAAAAAAAAACAGAAAAAACTAAGGAAAAAACCATAAACACTAACAAAACTGTTGTACAATTGTGAAAAGGAGTTGTCTTAAAGGAATTTTTCTTTTTTTTTTTACATTGAACTTTGGTAATAAAAACTCGATATTTAAAAAATGCTTTGAGCTTTTAAGGGTTTTATTTTTTTATTTGCGTATTTATAATTTAAAAATTACACAGCACTAATTTTTCAAAAATAATAACATTCGTTTAATATTGATTATTGGGAAATCTAAAAATAGCTGATTTTATAACTTTATTAAGTACAAATGAGTTCAAAAACATTTGAATTTTGTGGTTCATGACTTATGACAACCAAAGTCATTTAATCTATTAATCACATCTGAGCTAGAACTGAATTAGAAACTAAACTAGAATTGAACTGGAAACTGAACTAGAACGAACTAGAACTTGAACTAGGAACTGAACTGGAACTGAACTAGAACTGAACTAGAACTGAACTAGAACTACTAGAACTGACTGTACTAGAACTGAACTAGAAACTGAACTAGAACTGAACTAGAACTGAAACTAGAACTGACTAGAACTGAACTAGAACTGAACTAGAACTGAACTAGAACTGAACTAGAACTGAACTAGAACTGAACTAGAACTGAACTAGAACTGAACTAGAACTGAACTAGAACTGAACTAGAACTGAACTAGAACTGAACTAGAACTGAACTAGAACTGAACTGAACTAGAACTGAACTAGAACTGAACTAGAACTGAACTAGAACTGAACTAGAACTGAACTAGAACTGAACTAGAACTGAACTAGAACGAACTAGAACTGAACTAGAACTGAACTAGAACTGAACTAGAACTGAACTAGAACTGAACTAGAACTGAACTAGAACTGAACTAGAACTGAACTAGAACTGAACTAGAACTGAACTAGAACTGAACTAGAACTGAACTAGAACTGAACTAGAAACTGAACTAGAACTGAACTAGAACTGAACTAGAACTGAACTAGAACTGAACTAGAACTGAACTAGAACTGAACTAGAAACTGAACTAGAACTGAACTAGAACTGAACTAGAACTGAACTAGAACTGAACTAGAACTGAACTAGAACTGAACTAGAACTGAACTAGAACTGAACTAGAACTGAACTAGAACTGAACTAGAACTGAACTAGAACTGAACTAGAACTGAACTAGAACTGAACTAGAACTGAACTAGAACTGAACTAGAACTGAAGTAGTAGAACTGACTAGAACTGAACTAGAACTGAACTAGAACTGAACTAGAACTGAACTAGAACTGAACTAGAACTGAACTAGAACTGAACTAGAACTGAACTAGAACTGAACTAGAACTGAACTAGAACTGAACTAGAACTGAACTAGAACTGAACTAGAACTGAACTAGAACTGAACTAGAACTGAACTAGAACTGAACTAGAACTGAACTGAACTGAACTAGAACTGAACTAGAACTGAACTAGAACTGAACTGGAACTGAACTAGAACTGAACTAGAACTGAACTAGAACTGAACTAGAACTGAACTAGAACTGAACTAGAACTGAACTAGAACTGAACTAGAACTGAACTAGAACTGAACTAGAACTGAACTAGAACTGAACTAGAACTGAACTAGAACTGAACTAGAACTGAACTAGAACTGAACTAGAACTGAACTAGAACTGAACTAGAACTGAACTAGAACTGAACTAGAACTGAACTAGAACTGAACTAGAACTGAACTAGAACTGAACTAGAACTGAACTAGAACTGAATTAGAACTGAATTAGAACTGAACTAGAACTGAACTAGAACTGAACTAGAACTGAACTAGAACTGAACTAGAACTGAACTAGAACTGAACTAGAACTGAACTAGAACTGAACTAGAACTGAACTAGACTGAACTAGAACTGAACTAGAACTGAAATAGAACTGAACTAGAACTGAACTAGAACTGAACTAGAACTGAACTAGAACTGAACTAGAACTGAACTAGAACGGAACTAGAACTGAACTAGAACTGAACTAGAACTGAACTAGAACTGAACTAGAACTGAACTAGAACTGAACTAGAACTGAACTAGAACTGAACTAGAACTGAACTAGAACTGAACTAGAACTGAACTAGAACTGAACTGAACTAGAACTGAACTAGAATTGAACTAGAACTGAACTAGAACAAGAACTGAACCAGATCTGAACTAGAACAGAACTAGAACTGAACTAGAACTGAACTAGAACTCAACTAAACTAAACCTTTATTTCAGATATATAAAAAATTTATTGAAAATTCTAAAATTGTAACATCCTATAATTAAAATAGGCACTTTACTACTTTAAAGTAAAAGATCGACAAAATGCCTATACAACTCATATTAGATCTTCTTCATAAGTATTAAAAATCATGGTATCTTTATATAACTAATAACATTTACATATGTACATCTATAAATGCATATTACATACATACATATATTTTTAAAATTTCCAAAACACATCGGAATCGGTTAACAATTGATTAATTCCTTTAGAAAAGTTCTTATAACTCATTTATAGAATTAGGCTTTCTATTGAAAATAATTAATTTGTCGAATAAATTAATGTATCGTAATGCAATTTGTCATAAAGGTGAAATAATAAGAACTGGTTTGAAACAAGCATTTAACGAAAATAATTTTGTACTATTTTTATTTTATTTGAGCATTTGTGAATAATACATATTAAAATTATTAACAATAATAAGTATTATACATATTTATATAAAATTACAAAAAATAATTGAACACTTTTAAAAAACTCTAAACATTTTGACATCAAATATTTTAAATTTTAAGGCAAAAACAAATATAACGAGTAAATCCAAAACAACTAACGAATGACAGAAAATAACGTTAAAGAGAGTAAAATAAGTTTGAGTATGTAAGAGAAGACATACATACATAAATAAACAGAAAGAGAGCAGAGCAGAATGAATGCAAATAGAATAATACAAAAAATATGCCAAATGTTAAAAAACTAATAATATTAATAATTAAAAAATCCAAAATAACAAAAATAAAAAGAAAAGAAATAAAAAAATTAACACACAAAATTTAAACAATGGCAACACTAAACAAGCACCGGTCAAATATCGATTGTTTAAGAAAAAACAACAAAAACATCTGCTCTAAAACAATTGTGAATGAAATAAAAGAAAATAAATAAAAATAGAACTTATTATTTATTAAAGTGTTTAATTTTAATGTGCAATCTTAATCATCATTAAATAAACATTAAATTAAAAGAATATCTGAAGACAATTTGCATTGTTTTCATTGTAGTGTATTTGGTTAATTATGTTTGTTTTCCTTTCTCTCAGTGTCTCGCTGTATTGTTATCGACCAGTTTTACCATCCCTAACGCAATTGGAAGAAGAAAAAAGTGTGCAAATAAATAATTTGCTGATAATAAAACAATAGTGTTTCATTTGCAAAAATAAGTGTTATTTGTTTAATAAATTGTTTGCCTGCAGTGATTTTTGAATAAGGTAAATGAAAGCTACGACTATTTTCATTAAATTGTGAAACAAATTGTCCGATATTTTCATATTTTTTTTCCTTCGCAAAACAACAAACGCATTGCAATGCATTGTGTCTCTGCCCAATAATGTGACCAGGCCAAGTGGATAGCAAAATATCCATCCACTTGTTCTTTCTTCTTACAATATTGATAAAGACAAGTGTGTTTTTCTCCTTCCTTTTGTGTGCTGTGTTTCGCTTGATAGATTTATTGAATTGGAAAATCCATGTCATTATTGTTTATAATTCGTATTAGTCCAAAGTCAATTATATCTAATTGTTTGGTATAATAGATTGACCTTCTTGGAATAAAGGTAACAATGATTTCAAAATCTGATAAATGGCAATCGGTTTATTTAAGAATAATCTACATATTCTATAGTTTAGTTTTAGAAAACTGAACAGGAACTTATTTAGAACTGAACTAGAACTTAGTTCAGTTCTAGATAAGAACTGAACTAGAATTGAACTACAACTGAACTAGAACTGAACTAGAACTGAACTAGAACTGAACTAGAACTGAACTAGAACTGAACTAGAACTGAACTAGAACTGAACTAGAACTGAACTAGAACTGAACGAGAACTGAACTAGAACTGAACTAGAACTGAACTAGAACTGAACTAGAACTGAACTGAAACTAGAACTGAACTAGAACTGAACTAGAACTGAACTAGAACTGAACTAGAACTGAACTAGAACTGAACTAGAACTGAACTAGAACTGAACTAGAACTGAACTAGAACTGAACTAGAACTGAACTAGAACTGAACTAGAACTGAACTAGAACTGAACTAGAACTGAACTAGAACTGAACTAGAACTGAACTAGAACTGAACTAGAACTGAACTAGAACTGAACTAGAACTGAACTAGAACTGAACTAGAACTGAACTA